CAGGGGGTCCACACTTGCTGGAGCAGCCCCCGTCCAGATTGAATCCATGGAAGCGAGTCTAAGCACATCACAGTCTGTGCCAAGGGCACTGGTGGCTGTGCTGAAGGGTAAAGGTGAGGGGATGCCGTCACCTCTGCTGGTGGTGGTGCTTGCTGTGGGTTGAATTGTGGCCCTCAAGGATACATTGACCTCCTAACCCCTTGATACCTGCAAACATTACCTTTTTTGGAAATAGGATCTTTGCCATTGTGACAAAGATATAAATGAAAATGAGGTGATGCTGGAGTGGGGTGGGCCCTTGGTGCCATGTGACTGGTGCTCTCGTAAAAGGCAGGGAGACACAGACAGACCCTTGAAGGAGAACATCATGTGAAGATGGAAGCAGCTGGGAATGATGTTCCTAGAAGCCCGGGGTTGTCAGTGATGGCCAGCAAGAACAAAAACCAGGAGAAAGGCCCCGGAGCTACACCGATGTTAGCATTGTCTGCTTCTGCAAGACCTGTGCCGCCTGAGACCCCTCAACATTATAGACAAGGGCTCATTTGCTTTAGTTTGGTCTTTTCTTCATACCTTCTTGCTCTACAATCTGGGTACACACTGGCGGGGGCTGGACCAGGGTAACATCTTAGGAGTGGTGACCTGTGGAATCCAGAACACGTCACCCCCTGAGCTTCCTGGCCATTCCAGAGCCCACGTGGGATTCTGTCCCCTCTTGAGAGGAGTTCTTTCCCCTCAGCCGCCTCAGCTGTGCTCTGGGGTTGATGTGGAAAATTACGAATGGGGGGGTGCTTTTTACATTACATGTTACTAATTAGAAAAGAATTTCTCCTCTGTGTAAGTGTATACCCAGAACAGCTATTATCCCCCATTGAAAGCCGATGTTTAGGACAGATCAGGAATCCAAATACGCAAATGAGGACATAAGAACTTCAGTCTCGCCTCAGCTGACTGTGCTCAGACCTCTCGAGTCCTCGTCTGTCAAGTTCTCGCCTAGAGTCATCATCGCAGAAAGGAGGGTACAGAAAAATGCCAGTAGCATGGACCCCTGGGCTCCCTGACCAGGGGCATTCACACAATTCTATCCTGGCAACTGTGCACTTCACCTTGTGCTCTCAGTGTGTGTGAGACCCTTGGAGGGCAAGGATAGACCTTGGTCACATGGACAGAATTAATTGCAAGATGAGGATCAAGGCTGGCAAAGCTGGAGCTCCTCCTGATGGTCCTCATAACAAAGACATTCGAGGGTCTTCACTCCGCTCGCCCTAGAGGATAATCATGGTGGGGTGGGGTGGCGGTGGAGAAGGACAAGAGCGGGAAGGCAACATGGCCAGTTGGGCTGGGGTCCAGAGCAGCCTAAGGGCTCTGGAAATGGGCAGTGTGGCTCCTAGCTCAAATGCCATTTCTGAATGTCATTGACTAAACATCATCCCTTTAATGACCGTAGGCAAATGTAAGGTAAAGCCAGCAGCCTCCTTAATGGGAGTGCTGTGACAGAGGGGTGGGGGTGTCCACAGTAGCAGCTGCACCCTGGCTTCAAGGGTAGCTCCTCCCCCAGCCTTTTCTGCAGAATGTTCTGGAAGAATCCCCTCAGATAAAAAACACCACCCAATAAGCTTAGGGTACCGACTGGAGCTAGGCTGGTTGGAAGTCACCCTGGAAAGGGAATTGACGACAATGATGCTGATGATGGAGGTAAGCTCGCAAATGATTCCTCCTGTGTTTCTCTTATCTTTTTTTCTTGTTTTGATTATCCTCCTCCAAAGATGCTCGCTACCCTGAGAGAAAGGCCCTGACTGAATAATAAACACTCCCTTGTGCCAAAAAAGAAAAGCATGCACATGTCTCCAGCAAAATCCGCTTGCTGTTCACATTTGCAAACCATCCTATTACTCTGAAACAGCGTTTTTCTGAAACGTTTCTCCTCAGCTCCTTTCTACTCTAATTTTCTGTTTGCTTTCTCAAATGGCTGGTTTGGGGGGCAGATGGGGGCCATGGTGGAGTAGGGGAGAAAAAACAGAAAAGGAAACTATAGCCCCAAACAAGGATAAAATTATCCTCCCTGGTAAAATTATCTTCACTGTCATGATCTGTCTCAAAAGTCACTATTTTGTGCAAGTACAGATTTTGCTGACTCTTGACTGTGAAAAACGATTTAAGGTTTGAGTAAACACTTATGATGGTTCCTAACAATGGCCTTTGACTTCAGCCTGCCACCCAGCAGCTGGGCTGGAGCTCTAACCATCCATATCCCTCGCTGGCTCCCGGGCCCTGGGAAGGAGGTGCTCTCCACGCCCGCCCCCCCCCCCCCCCCCCCCCCCGCCCAACATGTCTTGATTTTTCTATAAGATCCCTGAAGGCTGGTCGCGCTCTCCTTTTTCTGGTAAAACAAAACAAGGATCTTAGCTCAGAGAATATTTGAAGGTCCCCATTCACACCATGGCTTCTAATGCTCTCCCTGGCCTTGGCCTTCGGATGAGGATGATACTGAGTGACCTTGCTTTCTTCTGCCTCAAGGCCAAGGACTCACCAACACTGCATCCATCCCCAGACTGAAGACTGCTTTTCCCTTTCTCTTTGTTTGAGGTCTGTGTCTTGAAGGAATGATACTCATCCCAAAGTCCTTACCACTTGTTTCCTGGAAGTGGGGTGGGTGTGGAGGGCAAGGATTCTCATGTAAATGAAACTCACTCACAGTGGCCTCTCCTGGTAGGTTAGAGCTCTGCCATGGATAAGCAGTCCACCCCCTCCCAATTTCAGGCTCAGGGATGGAGAAGGGATTTTTTTTTTTTGGACGACTTCATTTATTCCTGATCCCGGTCATTAACTCCTTCGGATTGACACAGTTAAGTAGCACCCCACCAATCAGAGCAATTGTATGTGTGTGTAAAAGAACTGAAAAATATTTTCGACTGCTTTCAAAAGCTTGTGAAGAAATAACAAATGCATTTCTCTTTGAAGTTCTTCATACGTCTTCCTTCTCCGTGGCAATGAGGACCCTAATTCATCATGGCAAGTGGTCAGTTAGAACTAGCCAAAGCCTCTCTGGTCTCAGTTTTACACCCTGTCCTGGAGACATGTTGTGCTGACAGTGGCAGAGACCTAGTCCGATTCAAATGCTGAGAATGGGGGCACCTGGGTGGCTCAGTCAGTTGAGCGTCCAACTCTTGGTTTCAGCTCAGGTCATGGTCTCTGGATCATGGTCTCAGGGTCGTGGGATGGAGCCCCAAGTTGGACTCTAAGCTCAGTAGGGCGTCTGCTCAAGAGTCTCTCCCTCTCTTTCTGCCCCTCTCCCCACTCGTGCTCTCTCTCTCTCTCAAATAAATAAGTAAATAAATACATCTTTTAAAAAATAATGCTGAGAATGAAAACCTCTCCTGAATCCAAACTCCTTATTTTTTAAATTTTATAAAACAACGTTCTCAATAAAAATCAACAGAAAAGGGCAACCCACAGGCCTAAATTCAAACCAACTGTTTTCCATGCTATAGGACATGCAATGATCAATATGTTATTAGTAAAACTCTGACTTTAACCAAGAGAGAATGGAGTTTCTGGGTATAATTCAAGTAGCTCATAAAAAATGAAGCTCGAGATGATTAGGGAAAAGACAGATATTCACATATATGTAAATATCACATATTGCTAAATAATACTTATCAATAAAATAAATGATATATTAATATTACATCATTATCACATATTACATATTAAACATATATACATTATATATACATATATAATGTATATATGTACATGCTTCTCCAAATTTCTTCTTTTATTGCTAATAAGCCTTCGGTTTATTAGCAATGATAATAATAATGGATATATCATAATGGAATAATTATAATGGATGAGGAAATTAGGTGTCAAGGTAACAATATTAGCAGTCAGCTTCCAAAATCAGATTACAGAAAAGATCCCCAGATGGCTGTTCCCTGGGACAAAGTTTCTGTTTTCCCCAGATTATGTAGGTCAGAGAAGTTGCAGAGACTGCTGCGCTTTCAGGGACCCTGCCAGGCTTTTCCAAGTCCCCTAGCAGAAGGGGGCTGCAGGAAGTCCTGGGGGATAGTGAAGGGGAGAGGGGATGGCAAAATGGGTGCAAGAGTAAACCCCATGTTTTGCCTAATGGGAAAGAAGGCAGACCCTGGACTCCAAGGACCACCTGTGGAGTGGACCTGAGATTTTCAAACTGTGTCCTCCGTCCTCCACTCATCCACTGTGACAAATGCAGGCTAGGGAGTGGCTTCTGTGACCTGAGCCCCAGGAGCTGGAGTCTGGGATAAAAACCACGGTTGTCCCCAAGGACCAGTCAACTTCCACCTTACAGAACTGCTGCACTTTCCTTGCAGAGAGTTGCTAATTGATATTCGACTGATGGCTGGTGTTTTTGCAGCAAGAATCAGAACCGCATTAGTAAGGATCCAACATCGACCTGGAGATTATGCTCAGTAGTGGACAAGACACAGATGTAAACAGACTAGCTCCATGCCTGCCGGGCTTAGTGCCCAAATGATAAGGACAGACATGAAAGGCTCGGGAAAGACATAAAGACTCATGAAGTCCAGGATAGGCGCTCAGAGGAATAACCATTTTGTGTTGGGTGGACTTTCTTTGTCCATTTTGGGGGTATCCTGTGAACCACGACTGGGCTTCTGGAAAGAGCCTATCTAGAGGAGGAATCAGAAGGTGGCTAAGATTGGATGGAATCTGAATTCCATAAAGACGAAGCTAATTTCTGCAATCGACTCGAGGCTCTGCTGCCTGCTCTCGCCACACACACACAAAAAACTATGCAGCACAAAGCCAAGTCGGATCCGAAGTGGGTTAGGGTATTATACAAGCGCTTGGCGGGAGGGGAGATGGTCTTTCATGTGTGTTTCTTTTGCTGCAGCAGCGGCGGCGGCGGCAGCGAGAGCGGCTCAGGTTGATTTAGAATACGGATGACAGTAGCCTGGCGCGAGCCCACGGCTGACGAAAGCTGCTTATCCCGCTCGGTTTCCATGGAGACGAGCAGGAGCAGCGGCGGCGGCGGCGGCGAGGCTGTCAGCGAGCGCGGCGGCGGCGGCGGCGGCGGCGGCGGCGATCGCGCGTCCGCGGGGGTCTGCAGGAGGAAGGAGGAGGCCGGGGCCGGGACCCTCGCGGCAGACATGGACTTGCATTGTGATTGTGCTGCCGAAACGCCGGCCGCCGAGCAGCCGTCGGGGAAGATTAATAAAGCTGCTTTCAAATTATTCAAGAAGAGGAAATCGGGTGGCACCATGCCCAGCATTTTTGGGGTCAAAAACAAAGGGGATGGGAAAGGCTCGGGTCCGACGGGCATGGTGAGGAGCCGGACCCACGACGGCTTAGCCGAGGTGGTGGTGCTGGAGAGCAGCAAGAAGGAGGAGCCGCGCGGCGGGGGCGACAGCGGGGGCGGCGGCGGGGGTGGCCGCGGCGGCGGGCGGCCCAACCCGGGTCCCCCCAGGGCGGCCGGGCCCGGCGTGGGCTCCCTGGCCAACAGCTCGGTGGCGAAGTCGCACAGCTTCTTCTCCCTGCTGAAGAAGAACGGGCGAGCGGAGAACGGCAAGGGCGAGCCGGCGGACGCGAGCAAGGCTGGCGGCAAACAAAAGAGAGGGCTGAAGGGGCTCTTCAGCAGCATGCGCTGGCACAAGAAGGACAAGCGGGCCAAGGCGGAGGCGAAGGGCGAGCGCGCGGGGGCCCCGGGCGGCCTCATCCTGCCGGGCTCGCTCACCGCCAGCCTGGAGTGCGTCAAGGAGGAGACGCCCGGACCCGCCGGCGAGCCGGAGAAGCCCAGCAGGGACGCGCCGCGAGACCCAGCAGGTGAGCTCGGAGGGGGAGAGCCGGAGCCGGCCTCCGCCGATCGCGCCCACGTGCCGGACCGCCGAGAGGCCCACAGCCCCGGGGTCCCTAAGGCCGACAGCGCCCGGGGAGAGGACGCCGCGGGGCATCGGCGCGCCGAGAAGCCCCGGGCAGCCCCCGAGCTGGGCGCTGGGGAGGTGCAGACGGCCGAGGATGCCTCCAGGACAGGTGACGTTCCGGTAGACACCGTCCCCCTTGTCGACTCGGAATGCGGCAGCGGCCGCGCGGCGGCCGTCCCTGACCCTTCCGCTGTTGATCCACCCTCAGACCCATCGGCCGATCGTATTTGTTTGATGTTTTCTGACGTGACTTCACTGAAAAGCTTTGACTCTCTTACAGGCTGTGGAGATATTATTGCAGACCAAGAGGACGAGGCAGGTCCCAGCTGTGACAAGCATGCCCCCGGGCCAGGCAAGCCAGTTCTCTCTAAAAAGAACCCCGGCGTGGTGGCCTACCAAGGAGGAGGGGAGGAGATGGCGAGCCCGGAGGAGCTGGACGACACCTATCTCCAGGAGTTCTGGGACATGCTCTCCCAGACTGAGGACCAAGGACCAGGGCCCCAAGAGGGAGCGGCCAAGGCGGCAGCAGCCCTGGAAACCAAGGTGGTGGCCGAGACGTCCAAAGACGCCAGGTGTGCGGAAGGGGTCAAGGACGTGTCCTTGGGCAAGCACAGGAGGCTCAACCGGATTCCCATCGAGCTCCATCCCAAGGAGGAGCCTAAACCGCCCGAGAAGGAACAGCAGGAAGGCATCCCCAATAGTGACGAGGGCTACTGGGACTCCACCACTCCGGGGCCGGAGGAAGACGGCACCGGCGGCGGCAAAAAGGCGGGCATCCCCCGGGATAGCTACAGCGGGGACGCGCTCTACGATCTCTACGCGGATCCGGATGGAAGCCCGGCTGCCGTTCCCGCCAGCGAGGAGACGTCCTGCTTGTCTCGGTTAAAGCCCGTGTCTCCAGTCACCATCACCTGTCCACTGCGAACACCAGGCAGTTTGCTGAAGGACTCAAAAATCCCTATCAGCATCAAGCACCTCGCGAACCTTCCATCCAGCCATCCCGTAGTGCACCAGCAACCAGTCAGGAGTGAGATGCCCAGAACAAAAATCCCAGTTTCCAAAGTGCTGGTCCGCAGGGTCAGCAACCGGGGTTTGGCCGGGACCACCCTCCGGGCAGCGGCGTGCCATGACAGTGCCAAAAAGTTGTGAGGTCTCCGAAGCTGAGGTGATGGACCCCATGTCAAGGAATACAACTTTCCCTGGAAACCACTCAAATAAGTTTTGTTTCTCCTAAAGAAAGGCTTTTAGGACCATTCCTGCTCCAGAGCCTAGACCGAGGAGGTGTCTGGGCCACTAGCAGGGGCAGGATACACCAGAGAGGGGGAGCTACACATGGGATTCTCCTCTCCAGATAAGTTCCCTGAGAATTATTTTCAAGCACTTTTAATTTTTTACCTTAAAAAAAAAAATCACTTGTTTTTTGTTTTTTTTTCCTTTGATGCGCTGAACACTTGGAAGTCACCTTTACTTGCCTTTGCAGAAAACAACCTAAGTAAGCATCATGCCATGACACTTGGCTGTGCCAGGGTCCAGAGAGGGCCTAGAGAAACCACTGCCAACACCAGAGGAGCCCCTCCTCTTCCATGACACTTTCCATCCTTCCTTTCTTCTTTTCCTTTTTCTTTCCAGGGGGAAAAAAGAGAGACAGAAAGAGAGAGAGAAAGAAAAGAAAAAGACCCTTTGCTGTATCACTGTGTGGAAAACACCTGCAAAGCTGAAAGAGCCAGGTATTTATTTACCTGATGAGCAGAGGCGACCATTGATTGGCCCCAAACTTGCCTACTTTTGGTTGCTGGGTATGCATATAGGTCAGAATCTACCACCAGGACAATAAAGGAGCATTTCGGTTTGGTTGGTTTAGATCATGTGTTTGGGGAGAAAGAAGCAGCTCAGCAGAGCCAGTTTTTTCTTTTTCTTTTTCTTTCCCACCCGGTGAAGAAATGAGGATCAGGGAAAGATTTCACTAAAATGCCAATAGACACAGTATTTTAGTGTTTATAAACTGTAACCTTTTCATGTGTACATAATGCATATTTTACAGTTTATCCAGCTGTTAACATTTTATAATCTGCCAGTAACCTCGAATTTAAAATCTGGTTTTATAACAAGTTATGATAACTGTCCCCGAACCATTGATGTTCTTTTATGTACTGTAGCCTAAAGCAATTCTGTTTTTGTTTTATATGGGTTCTCTGGCTCTCAATGCAGGAAAAAACAAACAAAAAACAGTCTATTGTGTTGATGTCCCAGAGGAATAGGTTCTGTCTTGTCTTGGGTAAGAGACTATTTGCTTCTCACTCCCAATCCTGGTTTTCAGAGATTTTTACCTTGGTTATAAAAATTTTGGATTCGACCATTCTACAACATGGGGAGTCCCAAATGAGGAACGTATTTTAAAAACCCAGTAGAAAAATACAGTTTTTCATGTTATTTGACTTTTGCTTTATAGATTCATGATTGAGACAGGTATGTTCAGAATAGTATGCTGGCAAGCCTATGTATCATAAACACTCTATGTCAAGATTTGTTTTTGGAAAAGTGCTTTCCTTATATGTATATTTTCTATTATTTTAGATGAGACATTTATTTCAGAACGGGTTACCATATGCCTGGATAGTTTGAGTGATTAACTGAAGCAGTTCCTAGAATGCTATTAGCATCTAATGATTATATAATATCCTCTTTGAAATGCATTCAGTGTGTTTAATCAAAAGACTGCAGCTTCTACTAGGAGTTGATTCATGATATGAGGAAGATTAGACATTTTCAAGCAAAACTACATGTATACGAATGGCACAAACATTTCTATATAACTCCCATTTTCCAGAGAGATTGCCTAAGTAATGAGCTGATTTTATGTGCTTTCTAAGCTTGTTTTCTATTTCTTAAAGGAAGGAAAGAGGCAAGTTAAGTATATGGAAACCTATTTTAATAGTACAAAGGGAACAAAATAAACAGACCCCAAAGGGAAACAAATTTGAGCCAGTAGCATAAAGCAAATCATTCCCCATTTTAAATTTGCAATGATTCAATTAGAAGAGGTGGTAGAGATTTGTTGAATTTCTTTAGTAGTCAGATTACTGGCTTTTATTGCATTGTGTCAGATCCTTAATGTTAAAGTACTGATTTAATATTTAATTTCCTATATAGATGAGGTCCTATAATCAGGCATAGCCTTAGGCACTCTGAACCCACCACCAGGAATTCATAAAGCCACTCATACTCACACGTGCTTATGCACTCAACTGTGCACAAACTAACAGACAAAGGCATGTACTGTACACTTGGAAATATTCTACAGATTATTTCTGTCTTGAGAAAGGGATTTAAATTTGATTTCATGCTGATAGTACTATTTAGACTCCAAATGCATTCATCTTCCCCCAGTGAATGTACAGAATATAAATTTTATTTCTGGCCGTAAAACAAAGGATGTTTATTTTCTTCTTGTGCATTTTCTTGTGAGGGTTATCTTCTCCTCTGTGTGAATCCGTGACAGAGTTTTATTTGTTCATTTGTTCAATTGTACAGAAAAGTTAGGAGTACCTGAAGTACAGATGAGAATATTCTAACAGTAAAGGCAATCTATCGGTAAATCTATTTTGTTAACACTGGGACAAACTGTTTTTGCTTTCACAGTTTTGGGGGCTTGTTCCTGCCATTTTACCACTATGCTGTGTCTTCTTTTTGCAAGTAAAGGGAAATGTCAGCAAAGCTCACTTTCATTTCCCCCGCCTGTCAATTAACCAGTTATACAAGATGTAAAATATTTTCTCTTTTCATTCTTTTTTCCATATGTTTTCCACTTTTTAAGAAACTCTCTGTCTTTAAGAATTCCACCCACACCAGGCAAATGAAGGATGCAGGCAATTGATTAAATGGCCTTGGTAGCTAGCTGGGAAATCAGGATCCATGCAGGAAGCCTGCATCCTAACCTTTTCCACCCACAGACAAGGGTTCACAGTTGCTTTTTTTGTGCCAAGGGCTACTTTCTCCCATTCATGTTCCTGGAGATTGTTTCCCCCCACCCCAGCATTTTAATAGACTTATATTCCAATTATTATTAATACATTTCCTAATTCAGCCATATTTACTGATTTTTTTTGTAATGGGAAGGATTAAATATGAGCTGATGACACCTTTGCTGTGTGTGTATGATTCTGAGATGCTAGTTCATTAGGTCTCTTTAGTCAGAGAGCTGGACAAATTAGAGGGGGAAAAAGTCAAATCAATTGTTGACCATGAATTTATCAGTGAGTTTAATAGCTCTGCACAAAGACAGCCTGACTTTAATAACTACATTACACAGACAATGTTCCTTGAACTACTCTGACATCAGTACTAAAGGCAGTTGGATGCTTTTACATTAGCACCGACTGGAAGAAATTTTACTATAGCGTTGTCAACAATGGCAAGAGGAAAAAGATTTTTATTATTTCACCTAATAACAACAATGACATATAGGACATTAAGGGCTTCCTTTAGATATGTTTTCCACAAATTATCTGCCTATTTAAATACAAAGTGTTTAACATCTATGAGAGTGATGACTTACTGGGTTTAAAGTGTTTCATCCTTAATTTCAGAAGTAGTTTTGAAGTATTTGCATTTAAACGAATGTTCAAATAACCCTTTGCTTACACAGTTACCGAGATAAAAAGACTATATTAGGTATCGAGATTTCTTCTACATCTGTGTTTTCATTATTTACATCTTTGTCAGATTAGTTTTCAGAGCCTTTTTACCGTTAACTTTGTATGAAGAGATCGATTAAAGTAGCTTTCTCTCCTCTCCCTTTGTACCCACCATGTTTGATGTTTGCTTGGTGCCCTCAGATAGCTGTAAGGGGACACTTCTTATGATGGTGACGTCTTTTGACACTTGCATAGTGGAATACATTTCCTGATTGTAGTCATTCCAGATTTCTCTCCTGAATGATGACAATCTGGCCTTGGTCCCTGTGCTGGGTTTCTACGAAGGCTTGTTACAATATCTTCACAGATACTTTGCTCCCCTTATCATTCTTAAGAAATTAATTCAAGAATTTTAGACTCTTAAACAAAAAGAGAATGCATCACAATTGCTTCTTATCACCACTGGGAATGACCGGTTAAAAGTACCTGCATGAAATAAGAGGAGAAACCCAAATACCTTGGCCTACCCATTTCCCTCCCGCTTCTTTGCCAGACCAAGGGATGAACAGCACAGTTCTTATCTGTGGAAACTCGGCCTTAAGAATTTTTGATGGCTTTCGCACAAATACTTATGACTGTTTGGGACCCAAAGCTAGCATGGCGGACCGGCGGTTTATATCTCTGTGTGGGAAAGCAAGAGGTCAGCATTTACTTCATAAAAGCCTTTGCACTGTGCTAATTCTTTAAAGGAGATCGTTTGTTGCAACTATAGCCACTTAAAAAGAATGTTATTATCTCACTCCAGACAGTGCTGTTAAGGAGTGATTCAGAATGGTAGTTTCATGATTATGGAAAAGTGTTCTTTCTCAAACTGAAAAAGGAAAGATTAAAATAGTCACAAAGCCTCCAGAACGGAAACTGGGAACATTTTACGACTGACGTTTACTTTAATTCAATGCAACCTGTGTTCATGAGGCATATACTGTGTCTACTACTTCATAAAAACCCCTTCGGTCTGGGCTCACACATAGCTATACTGTGATTGGACTTTCTTAACATTCCTGAAAAACATCTTTACTTTATTTTGCCTAGTTTTTTTTTTTTTCATTTGTTGTCTACGGTTTGTGAGGTGGAGAAGAATGGGGTGAACTTGAACAGGAGTGGTATGGATTAAGCCACACAAATTCCTCTCAAAATAATAATAGCAGTTATAACAATAATGAACATTTGCTGAGTACTTGCTAAGTGCCAGTGATCGCTAGGAGCTTTACAGACATTGATGTGGTCCTCTTAGCAGCCACGTGGGTTAGGCAATATTATTTCCTTAATGTGCCATCTTTAATTCTTTCTTTTTGTTTGTTTCCATCTCATCTCATCTCCCCCCTTCCCCATTCCCTTTTTCCTCATTCTCTCTCTTTTCCCCTAGCCTCTGGGATGGTACCATAAGCTTTTCATAAGTTCAGTAAATTAGAGTAACATAAAAGCTAGGAACTGCTTAATGTCATGGCCAGTTCACTTGCAGTAGAAACAAAGCTAACCCATGCCATGAAGCTGAAAATTGGTGTGTGTCTGAGACAAATAGGCAAACACTCTGCTTTCCTTTGACAGTATCCTCTCCTTCTCAGGATTAACACCAAAAATATAGACAGAAATCTCTCCTGTTGTCATGATAATACTTCTTCTCTGTAGGATGTTGGTCATTCCAAACACATTGCCCTTGTTTCTCCACCATGAGCCCAGTCTGGGCTTACTCTGGCTGTTCCTCGTGGTTTGTTTAAATGACGACTCTCTGAGTGGTACGTTGCCTTGGTACAATTCTGAACTTCAGAGATAAGCTCCTGGCTCTTTCCAAAGTAGTGCATCCTACATTCTGTCTGTGGCCCTTGCATCCTGGCTCATGTTTTCTAATTCATTAATTCATTCAACTAATATTTATTAAAGACCTAGAAGTCAGTCATCGTGAATTTGAGTATTTTATATTGAAGGGAAATACCTAACACATACTGTATGTTTTCTCTGCGGGATGATGCTCTGTGCTTCCTTTCACGATGTTATCGCCACTGTTACAAGGACCACGGAGTGTGGGTATTGGCTCCATCCTGCAGAGGTTAGAAAATGATGCTCACAAAGGTGAAATACCTTGTCCCAAGTCACCCATTTCCTAAGTAATGGGCAGAATTTGAATCTGAATAGAGAAACCTAACTCTACAGCTTCTGCTTCAATTATACATTTTTAGCCATATGATTCAATTTCTGTAAAACTTGTTTTAAGTAAGAAACTGATCAAAGTTTTGAACTGCAAGAGCCAAACCAGATGTGTATATTTGTGGGTACCATCCGACTGATGGCTATTTTAGTTAAAAATGAACTTGTGTTTTTGTTTTTTTTTTTAATTCTTTGATGGCTTTTATACATGCAAGCCTAGACGTTAGAGCTCAGAGACTAGCAGGTTTTTTTCTCACCTGGGCCAGTCAAAATTGTGGACTGTATTCATCAATTACATTAGAGTTACATACAAGCAGGTCTACATACAGATTTTGTGATCTGATGTCTGTTTTGCCAGTAATAAAACCAAAAGCAATTTCAGTAGTAAATCCAGCAGTGTGCAACCTCTGTTTCCTCCCACTCGGATTCTGTTAAAACTCCCAGTATTTAGGGAAAATCCATTGGAAATTGCATCATGGTCATAATTAAGGAGGTTATTTTCCTAATATATGGCCTGCCTACATTTGGTAAAACGCTTTTAAAATCAATTTGAGACCTCATCTTAATGAGACACAGTGGAAGATTTCAATAACAGGTGGTCATTCTATTAAAATGTAAACTGGAGTAATTTGTGATAATTAATCAATAATCAATAGCGTAACTTTCGGCTTTGTGTGAGAAGATAACATTTTTAATAAAATATAGCCAAGGTGACTGGTTATCAGAGACATACTTAGCTTTCTTAGATACCTACCTGGATCATCTAGTAAGCTAAGGCAGAGATATTAAAAATATCTGGTCAGATTGCATAGGGGCATAGAGTGGACACACAGTAAATACTTGTAACACAGTATTGAAATGGTCCTAGGTAGCCTGAAGGAATTAGTGAACTTTCTCAAATATCTACATTGCAGCCATTTATCCCCCGCTACACAATTATTTCTGAAGAAAGGACGAGAGACTCTCATAAAGTAATACAGGACAAATTCTTATTACTTCCTGAACAAATTTAACTGAACGTGAAGGATCTGAGAGTGGTCGTTTTATCAAGAACATCAGGGAAAATGGTTCTAATGTTACAGGCAAAGTAAATTTTTGCCATTTTTACTTGACTCCAGCTATCTACCAGGCTCACTGCTAACTTCAGGTTTTTGACCAAGTTATTTATATGGAATATCTCAGTGTAATATAGGGCATTGCAGGTTATTTGAAAATAATGACAAAGAAGATCCAAATGAGAAATTCCATTTCTATAATTAGTTTTCCTGAAAGTCAGGCATGTCTTTGAGGACAAGCTTTTGGCTGTATTATTTTTGTGCACAGGAGGAAAATTGTTAGTAGGTTTATAGATATTATTTTTATAATAGAATGTTAAATTCCCCCCAAACATCAAAAATTGTCTCCTAGAACTACTCTATGTTTTTAAAACTTGTTTTAACAAAAGATTCTAAATAGCAATAGGATCTTTTCTCCTTTCTCCACTCCAATGATTTAATGGGATAAATGAACCAATGTTTATATTTTTAAACCTGTAAATATTTTATTTTGGGTATTTTGTATATTTGTTGATATAATTCCATTTTGTGCATATGTACCATTGTGCATGTTGCTGTTTTTGATAGTCACTCTTTTAATGAATGTAAGAAGCTTGGACTAATAGCACTTTTCTTGTTTCATTCAAACATCTTAAAATGCAAATGCAACACTGCCATTTTAACTGTTGTGTTTAATTCAGTCAATAAATTTTGTTGTTCCTTTACATTTAAAGTCAAATCTGTTGGTTGTTATTTTTCCAGGAGGAATTTTATTTCCAGCCTTTTCAGTTTTTAGAATTGACACTAATAATGATGGTGATAATGGCAAGGTGATATGTATGTATGGTATTGGTTGAAAAATGCATGGTGGACCTGTATTTCTTTCCACACTTTGTAAACAAGTGAGAAATTTTTGTTTGGTTTGGGCAGTTGACTTTCAAAAGCCTTGTTATTCCGACGTGGATCTGATTTCTGAGCCTTTTACTCAGAAAATCTCCATTCCTCATAAGCTCATGCACAAGAGGCCAGCTAATCGGTTGTGATTGTTAGGAGCAGCCAACTGGAGTCTTTTATTTATTTATTTCTTCTTATTAGTTTTCAAGATTTTATTATTTATTTGACAGACAGAGATCACAAGTAGGCAGAGAGGCAGGTAGAGAGAGGAGGAAGCAGGCCAGAGAGCCTGATTGAGAGCTCAATCCCAGGACGCTGGGATCGTGACCTGAGCCTAAGGCAGATTCTTAACCAACTGAGCCACCCAGGTGCCCCCGGAGTCTTTTAAAAGTTGTTTTCTGGCTTCTATTGTTTTGTTTGGGGGTGGGTGGCATTATTAAAAAGTAAAATTAAACTGAGTAAATTTGAAAATCGAATTGGCTTCATTAAACAATTCATGAATTGGGCAGCATCCCTTTGGGCAAGTAGAGAGATATTCTGAGGAGTTGTACAAAATAGAGGGGGTTTTATAGGAAGGAGGGTAGGGCAAAGAGCTACTAGTAAAAGAAATAAAAAGGATTATTTCAGGCAAGGTCACCTTCCCTTAAGGGGAAGGGCAGTGGGTTTTATTAGGTGGCTGACCTCATCTTCCTTTGGGGGATGGAGAGAGTCCATGTGGCAGATTACCTCTGATGTTGATCAGAAAATTCCTGACTGACCAGTTAACATTTACACTTTCTGGGGGAGGCACAGGTTAGGTACTAAGTCCTGGTTTGGTGACTTGGCCTGAGTGCTGCCATTTTGGACTGTGGTTTTCTTTGGAACAGAAGTATGTTTTCACTTTGTACGCCTAATGGTTTAAATCCATAATAGTTTGAAACT